CAGGAAGGCGCTGCGATAGTACCTGCGCTATTGACAAGGTGTACTACTGCACGGTCGCGATCGCGGTCGTTAAGAGAGGGCTCATAACCTGATGAGGGAGTATTTTGTGATAAGGGCGTTGTTGTATTGAAGCTATCAGAGCGGGGCGATATCTACAGTGCGCTAGTGCGGGAGCTAATCAAATGAGCTGACTAATGAGAGCACTGCCTGTGCGGACAACTGTCCAGTCCTTCTGCCTTTGACAGGCAGTCTTTGACGTCCCTCAATCCAAGCTGTCGGAAGAACTCAGCATGCTTCTGGCGCACAAGTATCTTGGTGAGTCTATCGGCTGGCATGAGATTGGTAGGCTTCCACTGAACTGATATACGTCCATCAGCCACCTCCTGTCTCAGCCAATGGTGGGGACGTCCACATGTTGTAATCGCGTGAACAGCTTGTCCTTGTTCTTGGTGACAACACCCAAAGTCTGCAGGTTGTAGCAGTAGATTGTTGGTACCATCTTTAGGTCAAGCTTGATGTGATTGAATAGTTGATTCCAAGCTTGTAGCTCACTGGCTGCTGTTGATAGAGCTAGCAGCTCTGCCTCAGTGGTTGATTTTGTGACTGAACGTTGGAGTGTTGCTTTCCAGTCGATAGGCATGCCGTACAGCATGAACAGATATCCCTGAGAGCTGCGTCGGGTCGACAGGTCATCGGCAAAGGCTGCAAGTAATTATGGCAACCTCAAGAAACGGTACGAAGATATGGCTAGACAGCAGGGCGCGGAGATAGAAGTGAAGAAGCTGTTGATCGCACCCAAGCATCTTGATACTGAACGTGTTAAGTCTCTTATGGCTGTCGCGAAAGATGGAGAAGCGCCGCTGTACATTCAGGTTAGCTGGTGCCAATGCTCGCTTACAATGCGGCTACTAATGGCAAGTATAGACTCTTGTCAAAATCATACGGGATATTGCCATCCAATCAGGTGGCATGGGAACTTTTGATTATGCAAAACTGAAAGCAGAGCTTGATGCACAGATGTTCTCCAAAAAACAGAATCAGCCTCTGAACTTACGGATCAATCTCCTTGAAAGCTTTCTCGACCACCAGCCAAAGCCAGACCCGTTCGCAGATTCAACGCAGAAGCAGTGGTTGCCGAGCCCAGACTACCTCATCGGTGCACCTGGTAAGCTGGTGATCGTGGATTTAACGGACCCCGTGGTAGACGTTGACTCTGCTTGTGTCTTGTTTGATACATGCCTCTTGATTTTCGTAGCGCAAACAACTTGCGGAAAGATCATCGCGCTTGACGAGGCACACAACTACCTAATCAACGAGAACATGGCAGCGAAGCAGTTTACTGGCAAGCTACTAAAGAGTATTCAAGAGCAGCGTCATCAGGGCACGCGTATCGTCATTGCAACACAAGAGCCAAGTCTGGACACCGCTCTACTTGACCTATGCAGCATCATCATGGTACATCGCTGCAGTAGTCCAGCCTGGTTCGCAGTCTTGAAGAAGCATGTTGCGGGTCTGTACCTCAGCAGTGATGGGATTGAGGAAGATGGCAAGAAGGTCCCGACAAGTATTGATGAGCGGGCGTTATTTCGGCAGATTGTGAAATTGAAGTTGGGTGAGAGCTTGCTCTTCTGTCCGATGGCTGCGGTGGACTTCAACAGCGGCGAGCTGCAAAGGATGGCGGACCAATTTGTGAGGTTTAGAACGAGGCAGCGCATCACTGCTGATGGAAGCCGGACTCGGCTTGCTAATGGTGCATGAGATGGAAAGGGGACATGCCGGCTGACGTGGGCTTGTACTGTGTACTGGAGTAGCCCATGTTTCTATTGTAAAAAGCTACTCCAACGACAAATATAGACTTTGTCACAGTTTAGACTACGTGAGGAGAAGACGACTATATACTGGCCCTGGAGGTCGCTATTCCAGAACAGTATATACCAGGGTAATAGGGTCTCAACCGAGACCACAACATATTTAAAAACACACAAAATAGTGCAATACAACCTCAGTTCAATCCTGCAATATTTCCGCACATGCGTACGGATCACTGACGATCCCCAACAGACTTTCATTCGTTACTTGAGTTCGGTGAGCTTTACGTAAAGGGAGAAGTTAAGGGTTGTACTAAGGCAATATTTCATAGAGCAACGAACGGTTTACCTGTTTTAAAACCAGTTTCATCAAATTGTAGGTGTATGCCGTACTCTGCCTTCACACTCTGTACAAGGTCAAACCAGGGCCTAATAACCCCTGGGTTGCTGCAAAGCACTCTTTGGCGATCGAGGCTGTTGATTAAACTGAGACTTAAGCTCAGACTTGGAACGGATGAGGGTTGTAACCCAGTTTTCGTCAACCTTGCCTCCTCTGCGTGCTGCAAGCAGTTGGTTGGCAATATCTCTAACAACACTCAGTGTAGGCACAAAGCTCATATTGCCAGACCACTCAGGGAAGCCTGTGCATAGCCACCAATAAGTGTTGCGGTATCGGTTGGTCCGTACAGTGCCTGACTATACCCCTGACCACTACCCTGGACTAGTGTGTTACAGGTCAGGTATATAGTCGTCTCCTCCTAGCTAGAGAGCAATCCAGCGCGGTATTCCATCGACCCGATAGTCCTACGTTATCGTTTGCCGTAGCTATTAGTATTCTACAGTGGTCCACACCGCTACAATAAGGGAGTTTATGCTCTGCACGATTGTTTCATACTCAATCTGTTGCGGTAGAACCTGAGTGATCAGTGCGCATGTGTGGAAATATTGAAGGTTTGAACTGAGGTTATACTGTACAGTATTGTATCGAACAGTATGTATAGGTGGGTAGTTGTAAACGCCGCTAGTGTGACGTGGCAGTCACTCTCATAGCAGGTGAGGTACGACAGGCAGGGGCACCCTAAACCGTGACACAATCCATTTCACCCAAGCCGACCAAAGGACTGGACTCCAGCACCTATTAGAGTCCGCAAGGTTGACAAGCTCGAAAGGGTCCTACAATCGCGAAGTAAATCAAGAAAGCTATGGTTGAATGGGATTCACATCAAAAGCATGGTGGCAGTATTCGGATTGATAACGGCCTATGGGTCAGTTATAACCAAATTGATAACTGAGCAGCGGACCGCTGGCGAACAATAAATTCTATCATTATTGCATTCTAGAGCTCGAGAAAGTGCAGATGGCGGTGATAGCATAGGGGCAGAAGGCAATGCGGTTTATGAGGCCACCGACTGGAAGGTGCTGGTAAGCTCTTGATCTTGAGATGGAAGAAGTTAAGCATTGTACTGCCGTTGTGACGGTTTATGGAGTGAAGAGGTCATGTCTGCCACGTGTGCTGGTGCAGTGCTCTTGCCTGTTCCAACAGCACTTTCTGGCTGCACGACAGATACGTCATGTAAACAGACCCCGCTGGGTGTCGAGACAGAACACAGAACAACACACAACAGAAGATACTGATTTTACTGCTTCGCGCGGTTACCCCTGACTTACTGCCCTGCGCGGTTACACATTCACTTATTGCATTTACTGCAACAGCCGTTGTGTTATATGAAGCTACGAACAGTATATGTAGGTGAGGTACGACAGGGCACTAGTGCAGGAGAGACCTCAAACCGTGAAAACCCCCCAAAATTTCTTGTAGGTCACTCCAGAATCTCAACTTCACACTTGATGTGACGTTCTTGTCGAATATTGAGTTTACTGCCAAGGCGCTAAGGCCATGTGACGCCCTTTGCCATTGAAGTTTGCCGACTGTGACAGCGTGATTTGATCAATCGTCGCTTCATCCACCTTTTTCTTCCAGTCAGGCGTCATTTTGGAGGAGTAGTGCTGCCATAGGCGAGGGAGAAGTTGTACGTCTTGCGTACAATATTCCCTGATCTCATCAGACAGCGGACATGCATTGAATACCTTGTAGCTCCCTCCACGTTCGGGAGCGAACAATCAAGCCCCTTTTTCTTTGACATTCATCCACTCGTGCCGCTCTTTAGTCATCATAGATAGGCCCATTTCGATGCATTTCGCCGAGCCGTTGATATACTTTTTTGAGAATGAACGTGTGGCAAGCTCCCTGAGCTGGATGTCACAGATAAGATGTTGCAGTAGATGCAAATAAATGAAGGTGTAACCACGCAGAGCAGTAAGTCAAAGGGGAACCGTGCGGGGCAGTGAAGTCAGTATATATTGTGTTCTGTTGTTGTTCTGTGATTGTCTCTCACCCGGCAGTCCTCAGGGTCTTTTTACATGACGTATCTGTCGTGCAGCCAGAAGGTGCTGTTGGAACAGGCAAGAGCACTGCACCAGCACATGTGGCAGCCATGACCTCTTCACTCCATAAACCGTCACATAAGAATAACTGTGGCCCATGGCTGTAGGCATTAAAAGACTTTCCAAAGATTTTTTTGTTCCTAGCGACTCGCCCCGCGCTGCCCGCAGTTACATGCACACTGATAAATGCGTACTTAATTCTGCTCAATCTTTTTCAATGTGTGCAAGCTGATCTGTCTAGGTTGGCATTCTTCGCAGTGCAGTTGCGCCCCCGCTTATATAGATCCTCTACTTTTCAAAGTCCCTTGCTGTTGGCAGTGGATTTTGTCGCATCATGCATCTGCCACAATATAACTGTTCGATCGCAAGCGGTGACCGGCCGTCTTTTATCTGTATAATCTTGTCGAGCCTGGGGCTGAGGCACGGTCACTGGGCCAATGTGAGCCAACGTGAGCCACTGATGTGCCGAGAGCTGCTGGAAGGTCCAGTACTAGGTGCTTGGGGCAAGCACACCCTAAGCAGGGGGATATTGTCAGGCCTGGCTGATGATATAGTACTGTTTCGGCTAGAGCTCACCATCAGGGTGAGCTGTGATACCGTGTCCGTGCGCGTGATGGGCCAGTTCGCGTGATGGGCCACCCTGTTACAATCCTACATCCCACGATAGGACGACGGGCAATAAGTAACCACCAACCAAACACGGAAGCCTGGGGGAAGGTGCAGCAATACAAGGCCGCCCAGCCGGCGCCTAGGGATTTGCTCTCAACCGAGCTGACCCACGTGACGGAGCTCGTCAACGAGCAATGTCACGTGAGCGCTCGTCAACGAGCATGACATGATGCTCGTTGACGAACTGCAATCCATCCAGATTGGCCAGGACCAACTCTGCTCGTCGACGAGCAGATCTGGTGGACTGTATATATGTATGTAGAAACATAACCCTTATGGTTTGTGTTCAACCTCATCAATTAAGTTTGTCATTGGATCTCAACCAACCTTCAAGCTAGACAGATTGCCTGTACTACTCATTGTTACCCCAAGCCGTTGTTAGGTGTTTCACCCAGGCGACTTACCCTTACTGTTCCAGAACCAGAGCTCATCTTCAAGAACCAATCGAATAGTACTTACGAGCTTTGCTTAAAGTACAACTTCAACAGGTAACTCTTCTTGCACTAGTGTGTGTTGAAGTCGTGTCTTCAGCAAAGCTTGTAGACACTATTCGATTGGTTCTCGGGGATGAGCAGAGGTACAGAAAGCCGCCAGGGGTTGGTTATCACTGAGCGAGCTCGGAGCGGCATGTAAGAACCGTACCAACCGTTTCTTCCTCATACTACTCACACGATTGCTATCCGACTCCTAACCGATCCCTACCCTACTACCTACCGGTATCCCCCGAGCTACATCGAGCTGTTAGATATATAAGCAGGGCAGTGTACATAGTTATGGT